CTGCGATCCTGGCCTCGTAGGAGGTCTTATATACTGCCGGGGACAGGTGAGGGGTATTGGCCAGCAGGCGGAGGAGCAGGAGGAGGAGGAGCAGAAGGAGGAGGGGGCGGGTAAGAATCTCTTGAGGAGGGACGGGGGTGGGGTGGGGGGTTGTGCTGAGAAAGGGCTATTGGGAGAGACGGGTCATGTGAGGAGAGAGGGGGGGGTAGTGATTGAACCAACGAGAGGGGTTGAGGGATCACATGATAGTAATGTTGGAGGAAGGGGGCATATTGAAATTGAAGTGGGTGGGGGTGTATGGATCATGGGATGGGGGTGAGGATGAGTGCTGATGGAGGCTGTCCGGTCAAGGTAGATGGAAGGATCCATGGAGTAGTGGGAGTAGAGAGCTCAGAGAGAGAGAGAGAGAGAGAGAGAGAGAGAGAGAGAGGAGAGAGAGAGAGAGAGAGAGAGAGAGAGAGAGAGAGAGAGAGAGAGAGAGAGAGAGAGAGAGGAGAGAGAGAGAGAGAGAGAGAGAGAGAGAGAGAGGAGAGGAGAGAGAGAAGGGATGAGGAGAGAGAGAGAGAGAGGGAGAGAGAGAGAGAGAGAGAGAGAGAGAGAGAGAGAGAGAGAGAGAGGAGAGAGAGAGAGAGGAGAGAGAGAGAGAGAGAGAGAGAGAGAGAGAGAGAGAGAGAAGGACCCCCGGGGAAGGAGGAAGAGCAGGAGGGAGGGGGGGGGGAGGCACAGAGAAGGGAAGGGAAGGGGTCAACACTGATGCCAAGCGAAAGATGTCTGACCTTGTGTCGAACTGTTAAGCATGTTAAGAGTCATTCAACACTTTGGTGAAAAATGTTTCTAAAGGAGGAGAAGCTACTGGACTTTTCCCCCGAGGATTTGTTGAATATAATTCTTTACTCAATGGCAATGGATCTTGTTGAATATAATTCTTTATTCAATGGCAATGGATCTTGTTGAATATATCTTTACTCAATGGCAATGGATCTTGTTGAATATAATTCTTTACTCAATGGCAATGGATCCTGTTGTGCCAAGGAGAATGGGAGACCGCGATTAGCGTTGGAATACTTTGAACCTCTATACCCCGGGGCGTAAACACTGTCTGTGTATTGTGTCCTGTTGTATTATTTGGAATTTTGAGGTCGATATGAAACATGTAGTGGAAACATGAATATTTCGGAAACAAACTACCGACCACATATCAGGGAACAGCTGGCTGAACCGGCCACATATCAGGGAACAGCTGGCTGTACCGGTCACATATGAGGGAACAGCTAGTTGTACCGGCCACATATCAGGGAACAGCTGGCTGTACCGGCCACATATGAGGGAACAGCTGGCTGTACCTGCCACATATGAGGGAACAGCTGGTTGTACCTGCCACATATGAGGGAACAGCTGGCTGTACTGTCCACATATGAGGGACCAGCTGGCTGTACCAGCCATATATGAGGGAACAGCTTACTGTACCGGCCACATATGAGGGAACAGCTGGCTGTACCGGCCACATATGAGGGAACAGCTGGCTGTACCGACCACATATGAGGGAACAGCTGGTTGTACCGGCCACATATGAGGGAACAGCTGGTTGTACCGGCCACATATGAGGGAACAGCTGGTTGTACCAACCACATATGACGGAACTACTGGCTATACCGGCCAAGGGTGTGTCTGTGTCGGAAAGTAAGAGTTAAACTCCGTTCAGGTTGACATAAAGTTGTCAGTAAGCTGCTTATTAAGGAGTGTAGGAAAATTGGGAAAGAAAATATGACGGGAAAAATTTGCCTAAATTAAACTTTCATACTTTCATAAAACTTTCATAAAATTTTCAACAAAGTGGTAAGACACATGACAAAAAAAAATTCCCAAGTGTATAAAATATATAAGTAAAATATTGATGGTTTTATGATACTATTTAATTCATTCCTGATTTGCTTAAGAATAGGTTTGAATTTGGCTTAAATTTTATGTTTCCATTGTTCTACCCGAACAAGGAAGACTAACAAAAACAGCATTTCGTGCTTTTGGACTAGCAAAATAGCACGACACATGCACGTGCGCGCGCACGCACGCACGCACACACACACACACACACACACACACACACACACACACACACACACACACACACACACACACACACACACACGCACACAAGCACACAAGCACACAAGCACACACACACACACACACACACACACACATACACACACACACACACACACACTTGAAACAAAGGATGATAGTAAGAGGCTACAAGATGACCTAGACAGACTGAGTGAATGGTCCAACAAATGGCTGTTGAAGTTCAACCCGAGTAAATGCAAACTAATGAAACTAGGCAGTGGAAACAGGAGGCCAGACACAGGATACAGAATAGGAGATGAAGTACTTTATGAAACGGACAGAGAGAAAGATCTAGGAGTTGATATCACACCAAACCTGTCTCCTGAAGCCCACATAAAAAGAATAACGTCTGCGGCATATGCGAGGCTGGCTGACATAAGAACAGCGTTCAGGAACCTGTGTAAGGAATCATTCAGAATCTTGTACACCACATATGTAAGACCAATCCTGGAGTATGCGGCCCCAGCATGGAGCCCGTACCTTGTCAAGCACAAGGCGAAGCTGAAAAAGTCCAAGGGTATGCCACTAGATAAGTCCCAGAACTAAGAGGCATGAGTTACGAGGAACGGCTGCGAAAAATACACCTTACGACACTGGAAGACAGAAGAGTAAGGGGGAGACATGATCACAACCTACAAAATCCTCAGGGGAATCGACCGGGTAAACAAAGATAAACTATTCAACACTGGTGGTACGCGAACAGGGGGACAAAGGTGGAAACTGTGTACCCACATGAGCCACAGGGATGTTAGAAAGAACTTTTTCAGTGTCAGAGTAGTTAACGGATGGAATGCATTAGGCAGTGATGTGGTGAAGGCTGACTCCATACATATTTTCAAATGTAGATATGATAGAGCCCAGTAGGCTCAGGAATCTGTACATCAGTTGATTGACGGTTGAGAGGCGGGACCAAAGAGCCAAAGCTCAACCCCAGCAACCACAACTAGGTGAGTACACACACACACACATACACACAACAAAAATCAGGCAAGAGAGAGATGGGCAGACTGCATATTTTTGGATTGCCAGAAAGCCTTTGACACAGTACCACACAAGAGGCTAGTGAAAAAGCTGGAGATGCAGGCAGGAGTGAAAGGGAAGGTACTCCTTTGGATAAGCGAGTACCTAAGCAACAGGAGACAATGAGTCACTGTGAGGAGTGAGGTCTCAGGTTGGTGAGGAGTCCCACAGTGCTCAGTCCTTGGACCTATACTGTTTCTGATATATGTAAATGATCTCCCAGAGGGTATAGAATCGTTCCTCTCATTGTATGTTCATGATGCAAAAATTATGAGGAGGGTTAAAACAGAGGAAGATAGTATGAGGCTACAAGATGACCTAGACAGACTGAATGAATGGTCTAATAAATGGCTACTAAAATTCAACCCGAGTAAATGTAAGGTAATGAAACTAGGCGGTGGAAACAGGAGGCCAGACACAGGATACAGAATGGGAGATGAATTACTTCATGTAACGATCAGAGAGAAAGATATGGGAGTTGATATCACATTAAACTTGTCTCCTGAAGCCCACATCAAGAGAATAACATCTGCAGCCTTCAAGAACCTGTGTAAGGAATCATTGAAAACCTTGTATACCACATATGTAAGGCCAATCCTGGAGTATGCGGCCCCAGCATGGAGTCTGTACCTTGTCAAGTACAAGACGAAGCTGGATAAAGTTCAGAGGTATGCCACTAGGTTAATCCCAGAACTAAGAGGCACGAGTTACGAGGAAAGGCTGCGTGAAATGCACCTCACGACACCGACAGACAGAAAAGTAACGGGAGACATGATCACTACCTACACAAATCTGGGTTCCTCCAGACCCAACAGAAGGGAGAGTAATACTTATTAATTAATTATATTAGTATTATTATTATTATTGTCGTAATTAATAATTATTACTCTTCCTTCTGCTGGGTCATGAAGGAAGCTGACCTACGGTGAAAGAGGGCTGTGACGATCTCTGTTTGGAACCCGTAGGTGCGGGACCGGGACGGCCACCTCCTGGGGCTGGCGTGGCCCAGGCTCTGTTTCAGGAGGCTGGGGTAGTTCTTACCCTTGCTAGGGTCGTTCATATCTCCGACCCACGACGGTCTCCGGGTTTGGAGGTCCTTGTGCCTTCTTTTACCAATTTCGAGGTAAACTCCGGAGCTGGAGCCCCTTAAGCAGTTCGTTGTTCCCTTCAACGTTGTTCTGACAGTTCCTGCGACGGCGCTGGAACCAATCGTATTGGCGTTTGCCTTTCCATTGGAGACTTTCGGTGCTGTGAAGAGGGGAGGACCTGCTGCATGGGCAACAGCTTTATCCCCTTATCAGCCAACCCTGGCTCTGCGCCCTGGAGAGGCCACTCCAGACCGACAACCAGAGCGCAACTCCATAGTCTCCTAAGACTGATGGATTCCTACTACCAATATATATATATATATATATATATATATATATATATATATATATATATATATATATATATATATATATATATATATATATATTTATCAGAAAGGACTCCTCCCGTGAAAGGTTCAAGCCTAAACTGACAGGAGCACTGAAACTCCTTGACAAGTCATATATCCATATGTGGATGGCACGATAAAAGATGATTGTGAGGGCTTCTGAGTATTTAAACATCCTGCAGGAATTCTTGGTATCCCTCGAGAATGTGTAAACTTAACGAAAGCCCTCGGAATTACCGTCTTCTTCTCTGTACATGTTTCCACAAGCATCAAGCATATATATATATATATATATATATATATATATATATATATATATATATATATATATATATATATATATATATATATATATATATATATATGTAGGGTAGGTCGCTTATGTGAAATGAAGTGTATAGAGTAGGCCTTCAAAACA